AAAGTATGACAGTGCCCTGTTTGGGTAGGGTGCCATCTCCTGGTTGGAACAGAGCATGTAACTGCCCAGAGGTGTGTAAAGCAGGGGTGTGGGGTTGGGAGGGTGGGGTGAGGGGGGTTGTTAAGCTCTCTGAAATTGGTTACCAAGTTGTCACTGGGACATTCTTTCACAACTTGTCTTTACAAGTTTGGTTTGGCAACACCACCGAGATGAGATAGATGTCTCCGACCAAATATATCTCATTTACAACAGCAGGAAAATAACAATTCTTAGATTGTAGAGATTGAATGCACTTATTCAAAAACTACATGGCTGAGTTTTATTAAACTTTGTGGAAAAGTTAAGTATGAGTAAAGGAAGGACACTTTGATTTTTATGTGGATCTGGATAACTTTTTTAAAATAGCCAAATAAGGCATTTGCCTTGGTGGGGACTATGCTCACCAAATGCATAAATAAATGGATCAAAACTATAATTTATTATCAAAAAATTTTCACTTCATTTTTCATCAATTTTCTACTTAGAATGTGCTGGCACTGTGCTCTAAAGTCAGTACCTGGATTTCTGGATATGACTTATGAATGTCTAATGTGACACTGGATGGGCAGGTGCATATAAGGAAAGAATGTCTAGCTGCAGAGAGCTGCTAGGTAGCAGGTAAATCATTGGTCACCTTAAGCCAGTTAAAGAGGCCTAGTAAGGAACAGGAGAGGGAGAACGTTGGCAGGGGACTGCACACAAACACTGTCTATAGTGTTTAAACAGTATATGTGCTAAGGCAGAGTAACAAGCTTAAGACTCTGATCTCACTCACTGCAGCCGCTCTGTGCTGCAGACGCCAGCTGGTAAACATGCCGAAAATGGGATAAGTCTATGTTTGTATGGGAGACCGCGGGAGTTTCAGGGTTACGAATTAAAGATTGTGCAATAAAAAGGAAACAGACCGTGATCAGAATTCGTACTCTGACATGCAGGGGTGTCAGCATGTTGAAATCTTTAACTGCATACCTGAATCAGAAGAACTTTGTGGTTGTGTATGTGAAAGAGCAAAAGAGACAAAGACAGAAAGACTGAGAAAGATGGACAGTTTTACTGCGATGTATCTCCTTCATGTCTTATCTTCCTCTCCCCCTCTTCTCCTGTCCTCCATGTGAGGGCAGTTTCTCTCTTCTTTACGACTCTTTATCTGACATGAAAGGCACTAACATGGGATACCCGCCATTACGGCTCCATCAACATGAAAAGCTCTGACATGGGATTCTCCACTGCAGCTCAGCCCATTAAGGACGACTGGCGATCCTGTGCTCTGTCAAGAAGCTGTCACAAGTAGACAGCGCCAACATAATGAGGACTTAAAACCTTAACCTTGCCTTTAAGACCCCTGGTCAAAAGCTGCAATAAAAGCCTTAAGAGGGCACCTACTGGCTGGCCCGCTCAGTAATTACAACCCGTGTCTGAGCATTAACCCAAAAGGTCCAATAGTTTAGATATACAAAAGAGTGTGAGACAGTTCAGAACTGAGGTTGAAGGGTCACAGGCCTAATACCGTGGTTGGCACAGTTGAATAAATAAACCAGCTGTCTAATTCTACTTTTCACAATGCCAACTAACTTCTCTCTTTTTCTTTATGTATTTCAAGTCAAGAGTGAGCAAATCAAAAACACATAAATCAAGGGAAAGACTTTACAGAATCAAAGACACCAATTGAGGTGTGCTTGCTTACTAATAATTTGGTAGACACAATACCTCCTGACACTGGGGCATCCATGAACACAGCACCCTTCTTCTCTGCAGCAACTGCCATTTCTCTAGACACAGCAGGATCAATCGTGGAGGAGTCAATTAACAAGGTCCCCTTCTTTACCTTCCTGCACCGGGTAAGAGAGAATAAATGAACACATGGAGTATGGTAATCAAACTAAGTCCTATCTATTTTTTAAACACGATGAAATCTCCACTTATCATTTATAGATTTTAAAAATACAAAGAGAAGATACATGAATGTCACAGAAATCACAGAGACACCAACAATAGCATGTCTTACTTGAGGATGCCATTTGGGCCTGTGTATACTTCTATGACATTGGGACTAGAGGGGAGCATGGTGATGATGCGGTCTGCTTTCTCTGCAACGTCTGCTGGGGAGTCCACTACCTGAAAACCATCACAACTTGATTTTGTGACAGCCTGTCAACTGTCGCGCAGAGAAGCTGTAAATTATTGCACAAATAAGTGTTTACATGTGTAAATGCAATGTGTTACTGAGAGTTTATTACCTGGGCACCAGTGTCCTGCAGCTCCTTGCAAGACTGAGGAAAGACATCGGTAGCAATGACAGGATACCCATTTTTTAACAGGTTTTTGGCCATGGGACTGCCCATGTTTCCCAGACCAATAAATCCCACTGGTGTCTTTGAGGCCATTGATCGTGTTGATGCTGTTGTAAAAACAAGATTTAGTTGAAATCAGGGGCAAAATCACGAAATCTGAATGAAGACAATACTGCTTTCTACTGTAGGTAGTGCTGTAGACATTTCCCTATGACTAATACCCGGTGTAAAATTCTAACATTATCCAGAAATAAATTAACTAATTAAAAGTGGTTAAAAATATCTCTGATCTCAGTCAGTCCAGTCAGGCTATTAACCACTTCTAGCTTAGCCAAGATCTAGACAGGTTAAAACACAATGGAAACTCTGGCAGTGAACCAACCAGACTGCAACAACAGGATTAGGAAGGGAAGAAAAAGCACAAACGAAAGGCCTAAAGCTTAAATTCAGCCAAGTCTTCACCATACTCAGGGGACCAACTTCTCCCATCTCTCTGTAATACTTAAATGACGACAAGATATTCTCCAGTGCTGGACTAAAATGATCAAACTTCAAAACTTCCAGTACTGGATACGTAACAATGAATAAGCTTTGTGCTAATGACACACTGACATCTAATGCATAGGCATATCTATTCTGACGAATCAGAGCTCTACAAAAGAAGAAGGTTCAAGGTTCAAGGTTCTTTATTTGTCACATGCATAGTTATACAAGTATAACACACAGTGAAATGTAGCCTGACACGCTCCTCGACATGTGCAAAAATGAGGGGGTGGGGGGGTAGAGGATGTATATATATATATATATATATATATATATATATATATATATATATATACACATTGGGTGAATGTGCAGTAGTAGCAGCAAGCAGGTGAATTCTGTACATTAATATGAATAGACATCTGACTATTTTACAGAATAGACAATATAAACATATTTAAAATTAAAGGAATTTGGAATGTACATTGTGCCTGGGTTTAGAGTGTTTGGAAGAGAGTCCTGTCTCAGTCAATTATAGAAGCAGAAGAAGAAACAGAAGAAGAAGCAGAAGACGCTTTATGGTCCATATTGAAAAAACACGCATTTACCACTGCACCAAAACCCCCAATTAAAATCCCTCATGTCAAAATCACCATATATTTTATGGAACCAAAAGGTACTACACAACAGAAAAAAACGTCATCTTATTCTGCAGTATAAGATGACAGCACCTTATTTTTTTACACACTGAATTTTATTCCAATATTGCATCGCTTTATTAGTATAATAGCACAGTGCATTACACTGAACTGCAAACGGCAACTTTTAATAAAAGATTAATACTTATAAAAGGATGTTACTTTCTCAGGTATTGCTTGCTATACATGGCTTTCTAAGGTAGCACACTCAGCTGGTGTAACACAGTACAGCACATGTTTGGTTCTGAAACATTTTTAAAACGGCATTTACTTCAGAAACATATAAACCAGATAATAGAAAGTGGAGTGAAGAAATCTTTTGCACAAAATTATTGGATGATTTGTTGTTGTTGTGTTTTATTTATTTTATTAATTGCGCACCAATTATTAAATTAATTGGGTCATGACAGTACATCAATCTATCTGAATAATTGATTTATAGAAATTTAATAGGGTTACAGCCCATTTAAAGAGGTTGATGGGTTGTCTACACTGAAATCGTTTAAATCAATAGTCACTGTAGATAATTCATAAGAAACAACCTAGCGTGTCTTGTTTGCATTGTAGGAGCGATGAACAGAGTATGTGTTTGCAACAGTGATGCAATGGAAGCTAGTGTTTTTATGTAGCGCAGATTTGTGAGTGGCAATTAAATATTCATATGAACTACCTAAAACCAACATATCGCATATTCCTACTGAGGTCCAAAATTAGCTTTTCGTGCCATTGCTATTTCAGTGTGCTCGTCTTTGTTGCGCATGGTGATGTTCAACTTGGTGACATCGTCCACACTGCAAACACCTAAGTATTCATACTTTCTTCAGAGGGCTAACGAGCTAGCTAACAAGTACAACAGGACTATTCCGCCTGAATTTACCTGTGACCACACATTCGTAAATGAATGAAACGATGCGGAAAAAAAACCCGTCAACATAAGCGAATACATTACCGAAGGCAACGTTGACATGCTTATTCCACCTTAACCATATATATCGAGACCCTCTGAACAGCGAAGCCATACTTCTCTCCCCTTGACCTCGTACGGTGACAGCTGTCAGAGCCAGGAAAGCTACGCCGAAGGGTTATGATCGACAGCATTTTCCACCAATCGTAACGGGGGATAAGTTTGCCAAGCCAATGAAAACGAGGCAAAAGCGGGATATCCTGTGCTTTTACTTATAAATGCTCTTTCAGTCTGTACAATCATTCACTGCCATGATTTTAAATGAAAATAAAAAACGTAAAATCATTACGTTAAAAACCGAGGTTAAATGCGCAGTCTGTTTTCTGTTTTTTAAATTAATGGCATGTTGTCAGAGTTGGCAAATGACCCTAAACAGTTATTGTATTAAGTCAGTTATTTTTATAAGTGAAATAAACGAGGATAATAATTAAAGTGATTTAAGTCACCCGAGTAAATAATAAAGTTGTTACGTTGACCTCTTGTCGTCTCCTCTATTCCCAGCAGCATCACTGGTACTTCTCAGCATCCCGGAAGTCCAGCATCATTTTCTCTTTCAGGAAGAGAGAGACGCATCATCGCCAGAGCTTTGACAACAACGGGGACACTGGCAAAAACATCGGCCAGGCCGGCAGACATTCACTTTGTTTTGCAAGCGGAAATCCAATGAAAAGGGTACCCTTTTTAAATTCAGACTAAAATAACGCTCGTGAAAATCTTTGGTCTCTTTTCTCAGCCAGACAGCTAGCTGTCCGACTAGTATAATGTTTAGCTAGCTGGTGACTTGACAGGACATGGCCTGTTCACAAGCTAATATTAGCTCCTTAGCCATAACAAATAAGATTAACTCCAGGCTAACTGAGCTCGTTTTAAAGGGCTGTGTTCTACTTTAGCCGTTGTGTGCTGCCTTCGTCGTGTTTTGGTCGAAGCGGATCAGTGGTCAGACGTTGTACGTTAGCTGTTTAGCTTAACCGAGCATCAGTTTATGACTTAGACTTGCACGTTATGTTTATCAGTCCAGGGTTGGGTGTATAGGAAATGCAGGGATTTAGGGTTTGTCGTTTTAGCTTGCTTCGCAGTTACGGAGATGACTTGGTGACCGTGATGCTAAGCAGCTGCATCATTCTTCTTGACCACGAACAATAGCCCTGACTGTGCAGTTTAAAGTCAGCTGTTTCATCACAGTGGTGGGGCGGTTTCTTCATATATGGGGGTTTATACACTCGTGAACAATGTCAAGAGATTATAATTATAATGTCACTGATACCTCTGCTTTTTCCTATTTAACACCCTAGTTTTTCAGCAGTGTAGTACTGCATAAAATGTCTTTAAAGAGATGCCCATAGCAGAGACACCATTTTTCAAATTATGGTTGTGTACATCACCACAGTGAATGAAACAACTCATATGTAGTTGAAGTGCAGATTTCAGTGGGTTGAACAAAAAGAGCATAAAAATGTGAGTAACTAAAGCGTTTTTTAACACAAGTCCTTCATTTCAGGTGCTCAAAAGTAATTGGTAATTAAATTAAGAAAATAAAATGTTCATTTCTAATACTTGGTTGAAAACCTTTGCTGGCAATGACAGCCTGAAGTCTTGAACTCATGGACATCACTGGATACTGGGTTTCCTCTTTTTTAATGCTCTGCCAGGCTTTTACTGCAGAGGTTTTCAATTCCTGTTTATTTGTGCGCCTATCTGTTCAAAGTTTAGTCTTTAACAAGTGAAATGCATCCCCGACTGGGTTAAGCTCAGGTGACTGACTTGGCCATTCAAGAATATTCCACTTCTTTGCTGTAGTAAACTCCTAGGTTGCTTCGGCTGTATGTTTTGGCTCATTGTCCATCTGTATTATGAAATGGCGCCCAATCAACAAGCAGACAGTATCTCTGAACATCAGAATTCATTCATCTGCTTGTGTCCTGTGTCACATCGTCAATGAACACTAGTGTCCCAGTGCCGCTGGCAGCCATGGATGCCCAAGCCATCACACTGCCGCTGTTGTGTTTTACAGATGATGTGGTATGAGCTTTTTGACACCCTCTCAATCCTTTATTCTTGCCATTATTCTGGTAGAGGTTGATCTTGGTTTCATTTGTCCAAAGAATGTTTCTCCAGAACAGTGCTGGCTTTTTTAGATGCTTTTTTTTTGTTGTTGTTGTTGTTGTTTTGGGGTTTTTTTTTGTTTTTTTAGCAAAGTCCAATCTAGTCTTTCTATTCTTGAGGCTTATGAGTGCCTTATACCTTGCAGTGGACCCAGTGTATTTACTTTCATGCAGTCTCCTTTATGGTAGATTTAGATAGCAATACTCCTATCTCCTGCAGAGTATTGTTCACTTGGTTGGCAGTTGTGAAAGGGTTTCTCTTCACCATAGAAGTAATTCTGCAAGCATGCAACAATGTTGGATTCCATGTACGTCCAGGCCTTTTTGATTTGCTGAGTTCACAAGTGGTTTCTTTCTTTCTCAGGATGTACCAAACTTTTTCATTACTAATATTGTAGCAATTTCTCAGATGTTTCTTTTTTCTGTTTTCACAGCCTGAGGATGGCCTGTTTTTGTCTGCTTAATCGATAATGACATATATACTCATGGCAACTTTATTAGGTATACCTGTTCAATTGCTTGTTTACATAATTACCTAATCTGTCAACCACGTGGCGGCAACACATTAGCTATGTAGACATAGACAAGGTGACATGCTGAAGTTCACACCAAGCATCAGAAAGCGGAAGAAAGGTGATTTAAGTGAGTTTTTGTGATTGTGGTTGCCAGATAGGCTGGTCTGAGTGTTACAGATATGGTTGAGCTCATGGTAATTACCTCCACATCCATCTCTAGGGTTTATAGAGATTGTTTAGAAAAAGAGAAAATATCCAGTGAGCAGTAGTTCTCTAGGCAAAAATGCTTTGCTGATTCCAGAGGTCAGAGGACAATAGCCAGACTGATTCAAGCTGATAGGATGGCAACGCTAACTCAAATAACAACTTTTTACAACCAAGTTATGCAGAAAAGCTAAATTTGTTATAGGTTTGCTACACCAGCAGAAGACCACATTAGCTACCACTGCTGTCAGCTAAGAACAGGCAATTGAGGCGACAGTTCACACAGGGTCACCACAATTGGACAATAGAAGATTGAGGATATTGTTTGTGACAAAGGTGCTTCTTGGGTCTGGTGGGCTACTACAGATGTTTCTGCCGGAACTTTTCGACAGTAGTGGCTCCCCTGACTCATCTGTGCAGTCCGAAGGTACCCTTCGTATGGACTGCTGAGTGCCAACATGCCTTTGACTGTGCCAGGTCTCTCCTTTGCAGTGCCCCTGTGCTGGGTGCTCCGGACTTCAGCAAGGCCTTCAAGCTTCAAGAGGGGTAACACGCTTTGTGTTACCCCTCACCCCAGTCAGCATTACGTTTTTAAGTGGGGCGTAACAGATATATTCTTGGCACATTTTTGACCAACTGAGCATCTTTTAAACAAAAAGCCTGTTATTACTGTATTATTCCATTTTTGATGACCGTGTCCATCTTTTCATAACCACAGTGTACCCATCTTCTGATGGCTGCTTCCAGCAGGATACTGTTCCATGTCACAAAGCTTGTTTATCTCGAACTGGTTTCTTGAATATGACAGTGAGTTTAGTGTACTCAAATGGCCTCCACAGTGACCATATTCCAATCCAATAGAGCACCTTTGGGATGTGGTGAAACAGGAGATTCCCACCCAGTGCAGCCAACAACTCTTCAGCAACTGTATGATGCTATCATGTCAATATTGACCAAAACCTAAGAGGACTGTTTCCAGTAAAAGAGGGTTCAACCCAATAATAACTGGTAATTAATCAAGTGGTCTAATATGTTTAAAGCAAGGAAAAATATGGAGAGAAATACATCTCAAAAGGGGTTGCAAATGCGTAGGATATGATTCACTAGCATAAACTAAGATTTACAAATGTGTGCAATGATTTGTTTGTAAGCACTGGCTGATTTTTCCCAGCGGAAGAACGTTCAACATGTAAAAGCAGATTATTGAAACCATATATTATATTTTATAGGCTATTGTGTAATGTCTATAATTGGTAAATCACATTTTCTCTGTTTTTTTAGAAAAAGAAATGTTGACTTTTTTTTGGAAAAAAAAAACCCCGCTCCCCAGATGTCCCAGTTTTGCACTGGCACTTGAAAGCAGCTGGCAGCATTCAATTTGTCTTAAATGTGGGCATGCGACATGGTCTATGCGTATTAGGTGATTCGTTCACATGCATTTAAAGTTTTGTAAGGGAGCGACAGAGCTGTTACGTGTGGTTTTACACATTTGTACGCATAGAAAGGTTTTTAGAAGTCAGAACTTGGGATTTTTGAGCTAAACTTAATATATTGTGTAGAAGTGATCAGTATCAGTTTAGATGTACGTATTTGTGAAATAATTTTACTTGTGCTTAAAATTCTTTTGTATTTGTGTGTTGAGTCCTCAAAAGTTAAACACAAATCATTTCACACATTTGTAAAGCTCAGTTTATGCTTGTGGATCATGTTGTACGCCTTTGCAACCTTTTTGAGACACATTTCTCTTCATAGAAAAACAAATGTTAATAAACTTCCTCTTATAGAGGTGTAGCACACTTGGTTGAGAAGCAGTGAGCCTATAGTCTATAGTTGTAGAACCGAATTTTCCAGTTTGATGTGCATATTTAAACATTCAGCACGACTGCTTGCTTCTTCGCTCTGTGGGAGATACACTTGTGTACACTTTTACCTGTTTCAGGTGCAGAAAGGGTAAACATGGTGTCATCACTTTTATGAGTGGGAGAGAAAGTCAGGCCTCCGCAGATCTTTAGTGTAAGTGCAACTGCTTTATCATCTCAAAGTCTGAACACAGTGTCAACAAAAGGATTGCGTGTGACTCAGGAGTGTAAAAGCTAACTGGCATGAAGCTTTATGGCACGTCATTGCTTTGCAATGTACAAGTGTCAAGGAAAAACATGCCAGCAGAGCATAAAGGAATTGAGACACTTGGAATCATTTGATTCTAATAAATTGCATCATTTTGGAACAGTTTTTGTGTTAAATGTTTGCTTTTTTACTCCATACTTATTTCTGTCTATGCTGTTTTCCCTTTTCTAGACAAATGAAGTGACCAACAGGAAACAATGTCATCGTTCCAGGTGGTGGATTCATCGCCGGGCAGCAGCGTCAGCGTGATGGAAACGTCCAACTTTGCCCACGTTATCTTTCAGAATGTGGGAAAGAGTTTCCTACCCCAGGCACCCTTGGAGTGTCGTTACACCCTGACCCCTTACATTACTCCCCACCCCAAAGACTGGGTGGGCATTTTCAAGGTACAACACGCAC